AAAGTCATTATGAGAATAAAATCCTAATATTATGAGAATAAAGTCATAATATTATGAGAATAAAGTTGTAAATTACGAGAAAAAGTCATAATATTCTGAAATTAAAGTCGTAATATTAGATTAAAGTCATCCTTTATTGTACCCTTTGCACAAAAAAGCAGTCTTACCACAGCATAAAAATGAGGAAAGTTGAGCAACTTGCAAAGTTGTTCTTTAGTTCAAAGTCYTGCTACTGATAATTTGATGCTGATGTGCTAAAAGATAAAGTAKTTCTTTTAACTGATACTAAACAAGTCAATTGTCTTTTGACAACGTATTTGAAAAAGGAGAAAAAGAAGCAGCAAACTGCATAAACACTACTAACCAGCAGGTGGCAGTGATGTATTGTAACGTGGTTTATCAACTTTCAACAAACWGCAGAAGAAGAAGCTGAACGAATACAGCTGGCTGTTCCACACCTGGTKTAATTCAATGAGGCTTAACAAGTTAAAATTGGTCGTTGTTCGTACATAGAGTGAAACTAGATACGTTCATTATTCAATCAGAACATTTGGGTCTGAAAGGTAAGCGTATGATTTATTTTTATTGACTGAGGCCATGCACAAGCCGCTTTCTTTTATTCAGTGGAGTAGCATGCTAAGTGCTTAGCTAGCCGAGGCGAGAGCAACATGTTAGCTAACACGTTCGCACGGAGCGGCACTAAATTATCGCAATGTTACTGTTTTTATTTAKTTGCATGCTGTTTGCAAGGACTAATCGTCTGAACCTGTTTGGGTGTAAGTGAGGATGAACACAAGCTTCAGATGGTGTAGATGTGTGTAAGCTAACTGTGGTGAGCTGACGACGATGCTGTTAGCCCCCTGCGTGCACCACAAGCGGTGGCTTTGGTACGGACTATTTCCTGAACGAGTTCCACGCAAGGGTCGATTTTACAATAATAATAATAAGAAGAAGAATTTAATACTTTTTGTCAGTGTTTGGCTTATGAACTCAGTTATTGCTCAGTTATTCATGTGCCTGCTCATAGTAAATAAGCAGGTTAAATTGARGCTAGTTTATGGTAAAAATTCAGAAGAGGTTTATGCCAAAACAATTTTGAAAGTAAACATTCAAATTATGCTTTAAAAATAAAGGTTTACAGCTTTTTTCAAACTAAAATTAATAGCAGTCTGATTTTTATTTGAGCAAATTGAACGTTAGCATCTATCACTTAAAGTAGCATAATTTCATTAGATTTGTTAAATTGATATGAATCCATGAGCCCATGTTCTCTGATGTTCTGTTATGGCTTCTAATCATTTTAACTATTACCTCGTAATAAACCTTTTTTTCACCCCCAAAATTGTTTATTTCCAGAGAAGAATATTACATTTCCATTACTATTTCTGTGTTTTGTGGAAAAATATTGATTTCAGTTTTAATTCAGTTTATTTATATAGCGCCAAGTCACAACAACTGTTGTCTCAGGGTACTGTACACAAAGAACAAACACAAAACAACAAAAAAAATCTAAAGAAGCCAGCAGACTTAAGTTTTAGTCAAAAACTAAATAAAAGTTTGTTTGGTTCTTTAAACAATTCATTTGTACCTTTAGGAAAATCAAGTTAGAGAAAATATTTACGTTTGTACCACAACTACATCTCAAGAAAGTAAACTACAAAAGCAAATGCTCTGGGCTCTTTTTGTTTAAATAAATAATATGGGTTCCCTTTATCCAAACCCACTGAACAATAAAATAAAAGGTAAAATATGTTTCTGGAAACTGTGACAATGAAATAGTTTACTTGTGGTGAGAATCTAAGTATTTTTCTCATATCGGACCTGGAGAAAATTCCACGAGACAGGTTTARTCAAAAAGTAAAAGCAAATGAACTKTGAGCTTATAAGCTCAGTTTTCTGTTTTACAAAATGAGGTAAATTATTCTTGGTATATTACCATGATAACAAACTCTGTGAAGTAATCAGGTTTAGTGAAAGAAGCCTTGAGTCTCAGCCTCCTCTCACCTGAAACAGATCACTGTACGAGGTGTTCATCTTTAACTAATCAAGTGTCGTAGCAGAATTAACACGATAAGATTGCTCTGCCTACCTGGTCACGTGACCTAACAAACYTCAAACTAGATGGCTGTGTTAGTTGACGTTGGGAAGCTAGTAGTGTTAGCAGAAATATTGACTGTATCAAACAACATCGAGTCAAAGAAGCTCTGAGTCAGACTCATGCATAGGGTCGGGCAATATTGGCAAAAAAAAATCACGATTAATTGTGGTAATTAGCCGATAATGACTATTGATATGACTATTATGTATGTATTAGTATGACTATTAATCATCTGGAGTCCCTGGACGCCCTCATACCCTAGTCATATGATATACTCAAATCACTCTAGTGAGAAAAAAATTGCTCTCTGTAAAAATCTGTTCCAAATTGTGGCAAAAGTAGGGCTGCCATGATTAGTTGAATAATCGAGGACTAATCGATTATTAAAATAATCGATGACTAATTTAATAATCAATTAATC